GGGTTATTAAATGGTTAATTAAGGTCAATCGTAATTGTTAAAGTTGTAAATCAAGTGTGTTATTGTTAAAATTGCGATAATAATTTGTGTTTTAATCACAATGGCTACACCAAGGTGTAAATTCAATAAAATCAACGACTTGACCGATTCATCAATATATAGCATTTCACAAATGTCTCTCGTATACATTGGTCTGGATCCAGAACTTATTATCACTATCGATTTACTACATGGAATGTATTCAATGTGCGGATATATTTTATCGATAACGGAAAATTTAAACGGAATACTACTTTTGCAAGATGAAAACATTAAGGTGATTCTGACACAGTGGGTGCAAACTATTACCCGAAAAGATACATTACTGTTTCAGTCAAAACGAGATGACAACTGTACAGTTTTGATGAATACATCTGAGTTTGCGCAATTGTACTTCTTTAAAGATATGTTATTTGAGAAAATACATCGACAATTGTTTCATATACGTCCGCGTATTTTACATGAAATAAAGGTTATACTTCAGTCTTCAATTGATCGTATGGTGGTTAAAAAGAAACCGATAATTTTTTCTCAAATTAAAACGCCGGATTTGTTATATTTCTACGAAATTTGTTGTACGGGATTTTTGGCTAAATGTCTAGAAAACATCTCAAAAACTATTTTCAATTATCCATACATGAAAGTATGTTAAAAAATATTTTATTTTTTCATCTTGACTCTAATACTTATAAAAATTTTAGCACTTGTATTACTTTTCCGATCTGGTAGAATTGGCTACAAATAGATCATTTTTAGGTATAGATACTTTGCCGAAAATTGACAAGAAAGACCTCCTATGTGTGACTTTTCCAGTCAAATTCAAGGATCATTGAAATAAAATAACATAAAAAACAACAAGTTTGCAAAATAACTATGTTTTTATTAATAAAAATTATATATTTATACATTTTTTTGTTTCTATACTATACTGTAAATTATACAATAATAAAAATACATTTGTATATACATTAGAGTTTTCGTACTTCACCCGTAAATGCGTTGTATTCCATTTGACAATCGTGAATAATTACACAATACAATGATGTTTTATCGGGAAACTGTTTAGAGCATTCGAAATCCAAACGTAGATCAACCGTTGAAGTCTTGATGGTATCGTTTTGTTTAGAACAATCGATCACAACTATGGGTCCATGTTTTTTGTAGTTTATATAATCTAGTAGAGGGTACGGATCTTTACGACCGTAGTACATTGTTTGGAATTGAGTGTACGAGTTGTAAAACGTTGTATACTTGTTGTTGTCGAAATCGGCGTTTTGGTTCTCGTATGGGTATTCGTCCGCATTCAGATACGCTTTGACGTTTCTCAATGAACAGTGATCGAAATCTCCAAGAACATGTTCGTTTTCATTACACATGANAGAACGTGTTCGTTCTCATTACCCATGGCAATAAGTAGATATCTGGGTTTTTCCACATTCGAATAGGTGCGCACCGACCACGTGTGATGAGTTGTCTGCGGTACCAATGGGTAAACGGCAACATCCCAGTGTTGAAATTCTAACGGGAGCCATTTATTGCTGTCCAGAATACGCATCAAACCCAGTTTGGTTTTCACGCTGGGTTCAAAGTACTTTACCACCCATTTGATTTTCGATATTTTCACATTGATTTGTTTTATCAATGATGCAACTTGCGCTTTATCGTCTGTTGTTGTTGTCTGTGGAACAAATGTTACAACAGTGCTATCGGTACTCGATCTATTCAACACAAGTGTCTGAGTACAGTTTATCAGTGTTCGTCGGTATCGTTCGAAAAATCCCATGCACATAGACAATGGACATTGCGCCACAAAATCAGTCCCATCGATGAAATCGTTGTTGTGCAAGATTTGCGCATATTTCCATCCGGCAGGTTGCAATCGTCGAATGTCGTTGGGTGTGAGCGAACAATAACCCTTGATGGTTGTAGCCACTCCGACATATTTTATCTTGTCCACTTCTTTACCATTTACCTCAAATCTGATTTCGTCGAATAAGTGCATGAGAAAATTTTGCCCCATAACCATTTCACCAACTGTTCCAACTGGTGGTTTTTCCAGTTTTCCTTCGATTTGCAAATAACTTTCGCACGGTACGGTGAATTTCTCCTTGTTACGTACCTCGATGCGGATTTCATCGTTGTGTTCGTACGAGTTGTTGTAGCTCTGATGTTCTAGATAGTATTAACGTTTTACGCTGTCGTCTTGTTGACATTTTTCCAACACGTGTAAGTACTCGGTCATGATTGACTCGACAACCTAATGATTTTAAAAATTCAGTATTTTCCTTTGTTAGTTGTTGCTGTNTTCAATATTTTCCTTTGTGAGTTGTTGCTGCTGCGATAGCGTCACACGATTGTTCCGTTGCTCCGTCGTAGAGTATATGCCATCACCCAAATGATGGTGCACTACACTCTTGTTGAAACTCAGAGGCATTTAAAGAGTGTCAACACGTTTTTCCAATATAAAGACACGGTCATCGACTGAATAAAGTTCTCGAGCCAGTGCTTCCAAACGATAAATTGTAGCTGAACTGTTGTTGTTGTTGTTGTTATTGCCACTGTTTATCAACTGACAGCTATTGTCGAATGTTTGAAGGAACAGTAATAGTTGCACAACTGTGACTAGTATACACAAAAATAATCCAATATATAAGGAATCAATCTGTTNAGGAATCAATTTGTTTTATACGGTCCCATAACGTCATCGTACTTTCATCCATCTTGTTTGATGTGTAGACGTACTGTTAATTTTTCACCTCTTAAGTTGACACGTTGGCCGTCTTGATCGAGCAATGTGATTCGAATCGTGTTCAATACGTTTGTGTTTAATGGATAGTAAACGACTTGTCTGGGACATTCGATAATACAGTAGCCCGGTGGTACGTTTGGAAAGAATTCATGCAATGTATGCGATTGACGTCCTTCGTGGTACGAGCCAACAATTATATTGCAGTCAACTCGTATGCATGTCACCTTTGTAATAGATAACGGGAAATCCGACGTGTGTTACATTTTCGGTGCCAATACACGAGGTCGGAATCCCAGCATTCCACCGATTGATTGCGGGTGTGTAAAATCTATGGCGTGATCGCATTTGATTATACTTCGCATAGTGTTGCGATCGGCTGTGAAAGAAATAACGTTTCGATCACCCAACTCTTTGTCACCGATTTCACTGCTGTTTTCCTTGAGAAAACCAACCGTTGGCAACAATGGATCATCAAAATCTAATTGTTTTTGCATATTGTATTTGTATTCTTCTCCATTGTACTTGTCGGTGATTCGTTTCTGTAAATCGTCAAATTCATACGATCCCGTCGGTAGCGTTATCACCATAATTGGTTTGTCAACAGTGCCGAAAATGAATTTGTTACAATCCTCATCAATATTCGGTATCGTGTTCCACGTATGCAAGCTCAATAACCCAATTTTACAATTGTCACCGACACCGATGGGTGGATGGAATGTGCATTGGAATTCAGATCCCACGCCAATTAACGTCACCGTTGTTTCCATGTTGTTGTTGTTCAATTAAAAATTCCAAACACAAGTGAACACAATTTATCTCGTTGAAGTTTTAATATCTACTATAATTGTGCACGATTGTGCATCCTTTAAAGTATCGTTTCAGTTCCAACGGTGGTCGTAAATTACCAAAACTGTCAAAATAAGTAATGTGTTTACCACGTTTACTATATGCTACCCAACGAGTGCCAGGGTTAGTGGAAGGGTCCAAATTCACTACACCCATTTCGATTGTTTTTGGTCCCGACTGAGGTAACTTGTCACGACAGAACACGCCACGAAACACTTTACGGTCGAACGCTCGACTACCGAAATTTGCAATTTCAACATCGTACAAGGCACGATCGGGTAGCTGTGAAATTTGTTTTTTGTTTTTTTCTTATGATTTTTTCGAGACGTCTTTTTCTTAGTTTTCGTACTCGCCGTCAATTTGAAACCAGACCCCGATTTGTATGGATGCAGGTAAAATCCTTTNATTCCGTGTGGGAGACAAGGTGCGGATAAGTGTACATAAATCAGTGTTTGATAAGGGTTACTTACCAAACTGGAGCACCGAACTGTTTACCGTAGTTAAGGTTAGGCAAACAGTACCGCCAACATACTATCTAGAAGACTATCAGGGAAATCCAATACGTGGTTTGTTTTACACCGAAGAGCTGAACAAGACCAGTTATCCGGACATGTATTTAGTCGAACGAGTGTTGCGAACACGAGGGGACCAGTGCTTCGTTAAATGGTTAGGATTTGGTCCAGAGCACAATTCATGGATACCCAAAACCAATATCTCACCTCAAAGATTGTCGATATACAAGGTATTGTGGCAGCCGACCGATCGTTTTTGGTCAAGGAACTGACTGTCATTGCCATAGACTGTACTTCATTCGCTCATTGGATGTTTAAACATCCAAAAAGTATCGAGGGCGATGCTAAAACAAACTTTTGGTTGAAAAAATACCTACATGGAATGGATACTCGTTGCGGTGACGTTGGATACAATGAGTTGCCGAGAATCATGAAACTGTTGCGGTGCGAGACAATTTACGTGAAAGGAGCTGTGTAAAAGCGAGTAGTAGAAAAGTATATACCGGGACAACGTATAGTCAACGTATAGGATTTGGACTGTCCTCCTCTGTACAATTTAAGTTGTGTTACAAAACCATGTTGTATCTGACACATGAATAACCCAAATATGTGCAGTTTATATAAGACTATATGTTTAAAACAATGGGTGAATTATAACATGTAACGANTATATGTTTAAAACAATGGATGAATTATAACATGTAACGCTATTGTATTAAAAAATATATATATTTATATAAACACGAATACTTTATAATATTCATTTTTATTTCTACAATAAGTATATTTTTCATAAATAAATTATAAATTAAAGATTATATAATAAATTGACATATATTGTTAATAAAATACTAAATACAATAATATATTTTATACAAAATAAATTGTTATGTATTTAAAGAATAATGTCCCCACGCTTTTGTATATACATTTTTATATCCAAACTCGTCACCGACTATTGCACGCTTGTCATAGTTGTTGGACAATGCGAGTTTCCTGGTTTTTACCGTCAAAACATTGTGATGTTTTGAACGTATGATGGAAATTTTCTTGTGAATTTGTTTTAGTTTATTTCGCAAACAATTTAAATAGTCAACCATATTTATTTCATGTTTCACTACACCCATACTAATACCCTTTAATCGCTTCACTTCTTCTTGCCGCAAAACGTTTTTATAATTTTTGTAGGCAATCAGGTACGCATAGACTTTGGGCAAGAGTGCAACAATTTCCTCCATATGCATACCTTTACATTCGTCGGTAAATGTACCCGGTTGTTTTTTACGTTTATCACTGTAACATGGATGATCAGTGGGATAGTTGGAAGTGTCGAAGTATTCAAACAGATATTTTTTCAAATCATCCTGAAAACTATGCGTTAATATTAAATAAATAAAACTGTCTGTATCCATATACACGAGTCTAAGTCTTTTAGGACCATAAAATGGTTGCATTACATCATAATGAAACTTGTACATGATACATTTACTAATAACCAGCATGGCCTGTCCAATAAAAATGGGTTTAAAAAAATTAATTTTTTCTTTATACATGTGTACAGCTACAAGATTTTCATTAAATATTGCGGTGTGACCAAACGACGTTTTCGCTACCAGTTTTGATAATTTATCTTCGTTACAAATGAGTTGAATATTTTGATGTTTTCTCACGTTCTCCAATGTTTTACCTAGTAAAATTAAAAATTTTTATTATTAAAAAAATTAAACGTATAAAAATATTAGTATTACCAAAGTTGGAATTGATTACATATTTTGGTAGATCTTGTTCAAACTTGTTGGAGGCTTTTTTACGTAATTCTGTATTCATTTGGATGTACGATGCCAACCATCGAGATTGTTTAAACTTTATGACTTTATGCAGTGATATTTTGTGATAACCACACCGTGTTTTACCGCTTGCTTTAATGTTCGATAGTGTACAACGTAATTACGTTTTGGAAACAACGTGGTCATTAGTTTGTTGTATTTGGCAGACGGTAGAGGTGAACGCTNGTTGTTCTAATTCAACATATGCAACATTCCAATCACTTCTTTTAACTCTTTTATTGTAATGACATAAGATTGACCATTTGAAACATTGTTGATCATCGTTTTTAATATTTACAACAGCCTTTTTGTTTTTTATACACGATGGTAATTCAATATACGATGATCCCTTCAGTGGGTTCAATTTATGTACTCTCAACAAAATACCATCAATTGATATTAGCGACCATCCACTTTGCTTGATTTCCATTTCTTGTTTTTCAGTTTCCAACTTTAATGTTATTTTTTCCATTACTGATGTAAAATCGGTTCCTAAGTCTACTGTTTTATTGCACGACTTGAATGATACATCTTTGAACTCACCAGTTACAGTATGAAAGTACATTGTATGCAGTAAAACATTGAATTTTACCATACTCTTTACAGTTAACTTTTTTAATAAATTTATTATTTCATGATTTATTTCAACCATGAAATCGACAATGATATCAACGATTGTATTATTTTTCATAAAAAAATTTCTTACACCACCTTTTAAGGCCAAATTAATTTCTTTGAATCCTGATCCTACTAAGCCCTACACTGTTTTTTTGTAACTTTTACCATATTTGAGTCCGAACTATGTGTTGGAAAACAGTTTTTTTTAGGTTTTCCTACAGTGCAAAAAATTGTTGGTCTATGATTCAAATTATTGTTGCAATGTTTTTGAAGCTATCGCTGTCTCCGAATATTGCACCACAACCACAAACTGAATCAGACATCATCATTTATACAACTAAATAATGAAAAAAGTATATAGAGTAATATTTCACAGTTCTTTTAAATATCATTTATTTATGTTATACTATGAAAATTTTAGCTTCGATGCGAAGCTGAGAAGGTATTGGTTTTACTAAGATGTGTTTTTTTTTTTTTTTTTTTTTTTTT